ATCTGGGCAGTTCTGGGATCCTGTGATTCTTGCAGGGGTCATTGTAGCAGAACCTTCTGACTGAGGAAAACCAGCGTCTGGGCTGCCCAGAGGCTCCTGGATGCCACCAGTTCTCATGCTGCTCTAGATCTGCCGTCTTCTGCAGGAGCTCTCTTGGAAAAAATGCTTCAGAGCCATCCAAGATCTTTGGATATCAACCACACTGTCAATGCTGGGAAAAATCAGTGTTTGAAGAGAAATCTCAGTAGCAGATGGTGGTGGCACTTGTCCAAGAGAGCTTCCTCCTTCCTCCCTGTGAAGGCGCGGATCTTTCTCGTTCTCAGTTACAGAAGAGCTGTCGCTGCCCTGCATGTTCGTGTTGGCTGATTTCCTGTGAGTGTAAGGAGAAAAGAAAACAGTTCTCTATGTCTTTGAAATAATTTCCTCCTCTTGTTTGTGTCCCACAGCTCTTTCCTACAACAGTGGGTTTACAGGGGAGGTTTTCTCCAAGCCCAAGCTGACGTGAGTGCTCTGCCCAGGTTTTACTCAGTAGAAAATCCTTTCTGATGTGGTAAAGAACTAATTAATTGTGAGCTATTCCTCTTCTTCCCTGGATTCGTAACCTGTAGCTAGGATGTCTGTAATGAGAGATCCATAATTAAGAATCATTTGGTTGCAGTTAATTACCTTAATGGGCTATCTTTTAGAATTTATCCCCGGTGAGTTGCTGAAGGTGTGACCGAGCCGTTGGCAGATGGAGAACACCAGCTGCTCCGTGCAGAGGCTTTCTGCAGCTGGTGCTGCGTGGATGTGTGGAGCCAGCTCTGCTCTGAGGCTGCTCTGGGGACTCCACCACTGCCCTGGACAACCCCTTCCAATGCCTGACAACCCTTGCAGCAAAGAAATTCTTCCTCACATCCCATCTCAACTGCCCTTGGTGCAACTTGAGCCCATTTCCTCTTGTCCTGTCCCTTGGTCCTTGGTTGAACAGACCCACCCCCACCTCTCTCCACCCTCCTCCAAGGGACTTGGACAGAGCCACAAGGTCTCCCCTCAGCCTCCTTTTCTCCAGGCTCAACAACTCCAGTTCCCTCAGCTGGGAACTCATCACACTTGTGCTCCAGACCCTTCCCCAGCTCCGTTCCCTTCTCTGGACACGCTCCAGCACCTCCATGTCCTTCTTGGACTCAGGAGCCCAACACTGAACCCAGCACTCCAGCTGCGGCCTCACCAGTGCCCAGGACAGGGGGACAATCACTTCCCTGGTCCTACTGGCCACACCATTCCTGATGCAAGCCAAGGAAAGCACTTGGTAGACTTTCCATCCTGAGATGCTCGCAGAGTTTGCAATTCTGAATTCTGGAGAACAGAATGAGAAATTGTCATGAAAAAAGTCCTTGAATTGCTCCTGCTGGCTTTGCCCATCGACCCCAATTCCGATTTCTCTCTCTCTCTCTCATTTTCTTGAACAGTTCTTTTTCTGTCTGTCGTTGTTTGAAGTAAATTCATTGGAAACAGAGTGATTGGGGTTTGGATGTGCCTCCTAAAAGAGATTTGCATCTTCTTTTGAGATTTCTTTTGGTTATGGTTGGGGGTGGCCTCTGTGTACATATATAAAATAACAGAGTGATTTAATGAGAACCTGGGTAACTGACGGCGTTGGCAGCTCCTGGGGAGCTCTGGTGCTCTGCAAGGACCTGAGTTACATTGTACAGTGACCAAGTCAAGGTGCTGAGGAGAGAATTTGTCCTCTTCACACACATGCTCACCCGTCTTGGGGCTTTTCAAAGATCCTTTTCATTGTGAGCGAGCTCCCCTCGTGTCCCTGCGTGGTTTTCTTTGCTGTTCAGCTTTCTTAAGAGCTGTCTCAGCATATTTGGGTGTTACTCTCTGACTCTTAGTGCTCCAGCTGCTCCAGCTGTGGTGTTCCTCAGCATGCTGAGGTGATGGAGGGATGAGGAACACGCTCTCACTTGGGTGATTCTGCATTCTGGGAGTGGCTGTTGCTTCCCTGAGCTGAACCAGAGGGAAACTGGCTTCCAGGTGGTGGTAGGAACGAGGGCTTCTTCGTGTTAACGGTTGGACTCTGTGATCTTAAAGGTTTTTTCCAATCTAGGCAATTTGGGATTCTGTAATTCCATGTTACTCGCTTATCTGTCTGCAGATAAACCAATTTATTTTGCCAAGATACGTTACTGTGCCCTGTCTGACATGTAAGAATTTCCCTAAAACCCGAGATCCTTCTTTCCAGGCCAAAGTTAGTCACATCTGTGCTGCATTCAGCTTTATTTTCTAAACATTCCTTTTTATCTTGTGGAAGAACTGTAAGGGTTTATTTAATCCTGCTGCCGACAGCCACAACATGTGCTTACATTTTTCTCTTTGCTCCCGTGTATCTCGTTAGCTCTAGTCTGTCCTTTAGCTCATTAATAGTAATATTAATCTGTTCCAGTTCTCGGCTCTAATCGCAGATTCCATCTGATCAGGGGTTTTTCTCTTGATCTTTTCCAAGAAGCTCATTATCTAATACAGCTGTAAATGTTGCTGGGCCTGACACTAACGAATATTTTGTACCATGGGGGAATTTGACTAATAAAATAATCCAATTAGACAGTTTGTTTTTGTCTCCCTGGGGCATCTTAGATTACTCGTCTACCTCAGTTACGTGTTGTAATTAGTTAACGCTTATACATCCCTTTGATGTTAAAGTGCTGGTATTATCCTTGGCTCTGGCTCTGGATCAGAACTTTATAAAAGAAATAGGTGGGGATTAAAATTGCAGCTTTCTAGTGGGTGTAGGGATACTGGAGAATCTTCAGCGCTGGCTGGTGGCAGTGTCAGTATTTTGAAGGTTGCTTATCAGCTCTTAGGAGCTCCTGAACACCAGATGTCTCAAAACAGGAGTTAAATTAATGTACAGAGGAGTCTCAGCCACACTTGTGAAAGACAGAACAGACTGCTCACGGTTTTTCTTGTTATTTTCCACTTTTAGAAGATAATTGGACCAGTTAGAACAAGTCCAGAGGAGGCCACGAGGACGATCCGAGGGCTGGAGCAGCTCTGCTGGGAGGACAGGCTGAGAGAGTTGGGGCTGTTCAGCCTGGAGAAGAGAAGGCTCCGGGGAGACCTTCTAGTGGCCTCCCAGTACCTGAAGGGGCTCCAGGAAGGCTGGGGAGGGACTTTGTCCAAGGGCAGGGAGTGAGAGAACAAGGGGTGATGGCTTGAAAGTGGCAGAGGGGAGATGGAGCTGAGATGTGAGGAAGAAATTGTTTGGTGTGAGGGTGGTGAGACAGTGTCCCAGGTTGGCCAGAGAAGCTGTGGCTGCTCCTCCCTGGAAGTGTTGGTGGCCAGGCTGGATGAGGCTTTGAGCAACGTGGTCTAGTGGAAGGTGTCCCTGCTGCTGGCAGGGGGGGTGGAACTGGATGAGCTTGAAGGGCCCTTCCAACCCAAACCAGTCTGTGATTCTGTGATTCTCAGTGGGCCTGCATTTTGGCATCCCTAGCATGAATTAATTCAGTTTATAATTCAGTTTATAACTGTTTTGCTGGAGGTCTGACAGTATCATCCCCTGTTTCTTTTCTTCTTTTTTTTTAATCTCTCTGTAGTCTTTCCTTGGTTTGGTTTGGACATTGGAGGGACCTTGGTCAAACTCGTTTATTTTGAACCAAAGGATATCACCGCTGAAGAAGAAGAGGAAGAAGTGGAAAATCTCAAAAGCATCCGCAAATACCTGACCTCAAATGTGGCCTATGGATCCACAGGCATTCGAGACGTGCACCTTGAGCTCAAGGACCTTACCCTGTGTGGACGTAAAGGCAATCTGCACTTTATACGCTTTCCTACTCATGACATGCCTGCTTTTATTCAAATGGGAAGCGAAAAACACTTCTCAAGCCTCCATACTACCTTATGTGCCACGGGAGGTGGAGCGTACAAATTTGAGCAGGACTTTCGCACAGTATGCATTTTTGGCTTCTATACAATTAGGATCTGGTAGTGACTTCTTTTTTTTCTCTTTTTTTTCTTTTATTTTCTTTTTTTTCTTTCTTTTTTCTTTTTTTTCTTTCTTTTTTTTTATAGCTTAAAACTAGAAAACTGTCTCTGCAGACTCTTCAAACTTCTTCTCTCCATCTTAGTCTTGTTGGAAGAACGCTAACTCATATTAAACTCGATTCAGGAAACAGCGTGTGCAGTCGAGTTCACATCTCCCAATTAGGATAACTTTTATTTCCTGAAAGTGCATTTAACATCCCTATAAATCTAAAATTCTTCACTAACTTCCATGGTCTGTGCTCTTACAAGACTTTCTCTGTGTTATTAATCTCTCATTACGTTAATCTTAAGTCTTGTGGGTTGTTTTTTTTTTCCTCATTGTTGTCTTTCACATGTTTAATAACTTGTTTTATTGTTGCTTTGCTGGTGTGGTTTCATTTCTAAGATATATGTGATACATATGATCAAGGTCGAGTCAAATTTGGTGGTGAATTAACTGAAAGGAGGTTAGTAGCTGGGATTTGACATTATCCTGTGGCTTTGATTCTTGTTCATAGGTGAAAAACATGTGTGATAACTACTTTATTTAACCAGGGCTTGAAAAAATGCACCAAATAAAGAGGTTTTTTGTGCAGTCGAGGCAGTGACATGAGGGGAAAACAATTTCGTAACTTCCCCTGTTTTCTGGGTGGTTTTTTGGTTGGGAGGGATTGGGGTTTTTTTTTGGTCCAATAATTAATTCCCTTCTCATTTTGATTTGTTTTTCATGCTAATGCCTCAGAGTCAGGTTCTAAATCAGGCCCAGGGAAGTTGATGGGATTCTCCTGGTGTCCATCTGTGGATCCAGTTGTTAGTTTCTCCCCTTTTCCATGTCTGCACACTTCAGAGCCGGGGTAATTATCCATCCACGTGCGTGGAGAAGGACAGAGCCCTTCTGCAGTCTGTACTTCTCTCTCAGCCAGCACAGGGAGTGATGGAGAGAGATAGCTGAATTTGAGCTGGCAGGGAATGCATTTTTCTAGCCCTGATCATAAACACTCCAGATCCTTGGTAACTTCTTGA